ATTTAATAAAGTACAAACGAAAAAAAATAATCTTTTTAAAATATTGCATGGTAAAAACAGAAGCTGCTCTTCATATTAGTGACAAACTTTGGCATTTTTTACAGGTTGTCTTTCATTTTTGCTTCTACTTTTTCATTTAAAATAGGTTTCCATTCTCTGTGTATGTGTAAGGTTCTTCTTCTACGTATTAAAAAAGTTGTTAAACAAGTGAGTGGTGCACTACCACTACTAGTGGTGAGAAAGTGTATTGCACCTTATTCAAAATCAATGTGGTCCCACAGTCCTCTGAGGCCCAAAGTTAAAAACTGTTGTTGTTTTGATGTCCTCAAGGTGGCTGCGGCCCATGGGACAAGAATCTGCTCTAATCCACCTCAGCTAACAGAATTAGCTAAAACTCAGTCAGTTTTACAGATAAAGAGCTAAACTTTAGTGGAGAGTCATCCCAACACACTTCAGCTCTTTCTGCTCCACGAACTCCTCATCTTTACATTTTCCTCCTCCAACATCATCACCAGCCTTTATCTTTATTACTGCTGCTTTTCTTTTTCATTATTCCAGAAGAAGGAATTGATTTGATTTTCAGAAACAACCTCCGGCTCACATCGGGTTTTGTTTGCGGCGTCCGCGCCGTTAACTCCGCTGGCGCCCTCCTTCCCATCAAGGCGCCACRGCTCAGACGCTTTTCTATCAGCCACGGCTGAGTGTGTGGAGAGCCTCCTGGAGCTTATCGGCCAAATGGAAACAGAGCCGCCGTCTTATCGTCCTGTGATATTGTTATTATCATTACAGGGGATGCGTTTAATGCCATCTCACACGATGACGTCCGCTCTCCGGCGGCGCTCGGAACAGATGAGCCGCTAACAGCCGCGACATCAAATATCAAAGAGCCGCGGGGATTATTCAGCGCCGCCTTTCATCAGCGCAGCCGTTTTCATGATTCATCAAGTGCAATTTGCTGCGAGAAAAGAGGAGCGACTGGGTCCTGCAGGGTGAAGCAAATAATCCACAGGAAATGTAACAATCAGCCTGAGAGACGAGCCTCGAGTCATTAAAACTTCACATTTCACTTTACGCACGGAAAACTAGTAAAACCTGATGGGAACATCTGATTTATAGAAGACGAGCACTGCTGGATGAGGAAGCTAATAAAACTCCAGGATCAGATCAGAGACTTCAGCCCTAAAGAACGATACAGTTTGGGTCGTTTGTTGGGTCAAATATAAAACAAACACCTTTATTTTASAATTGTTAATGAAAACATATATTTTGGTTTAATTCAATGAGCCAGGAGCAACAGGAAGAAGTAAAAGTAGGATTAAAAACCAGCTGGATTACAGGAGGAAAATAAATAAAACATCTTCCAAACTTTGATTTTCTGCCTTTAACGTGGCCTCATGTGGAAAATCATCTGTCACACAATGAAACACTCACCTGCTGAGAAAGTTTTAGCTGTTTTAGTGTTTGCTATACTTCAGGAMACTTTCAGCTGTTTTTCCCACAAACATCAAAATATTTAGCTCATTAAAAATATGTTTATTAACATTTCTCTCATAGAAATGAGACTTTAAACTGAGAAAGATATTTATTTAAATTCTAAAATATTCAGTTCAAACTGTTTTAGTTTTAGCTTTTAGCTACTGTTTTGCTGATTTAAGATACTATTCTGATAGTTTTAGCTTTCAGCTGTTAGCATGGCCACTCTTCTCTCATTTTAGCTTTGAGATACTTTTCTGCTCACCTAAATTATGCTGTTTGCTAGTTTCACCTAAGATGATGCTCTTATTTTAGCTTCTAACTACTAAAACTGCTCATTATAGCTACTAAGTTCAGCTTCATGTTCCCTAGCTGATATTTTAGCTATTAGTTACTAAGCTGCTCATTTTTGATACTAGTTCCCATGCTGTTCCTTTTAGCTAGAAATTCCTAAACAGTACTCAACTGTAGCTTTTAGCTGTTATTTCACACATTTTAATAATTTTGGTAGTGTTACTGAATTAAATCCATAGGTGCTAAATATGGGGGGGAAAGCCAATTTTAGTAATTACTGTACACTATTTTACCATTTTTAGCTCTTAGCTACTGCTTTGATGAGTTCAGCTTTTAGCTACAGCTTTTTTAAAGCTTAAGCTGTTTTGATAATTTGAGCATTTAGCTCCTGTTCTGCAAAGTTTAGCACTTTTATCTGCTGCTTTTTTACKTTTTAAAACTGGGAACAGCTTTGCCAGTTTTAGACGTTAGCTTCTCTAAGCTTTTAGCTGATGGCCGTTTAATAATTTAAATAATTTCAGTTCCTAATCTGAGCAACTGATTATTATTATAATCTGCAGAAAGTCAACACCACAAACACCACCGCCTCTAAAGAGGAGCGAGAGCACAGGTCAAAGCCTGCCTCTCTGATGGTATGGGGGTGCATTAGTGGAAGAAGTTAGAATTCTCCATCGGATCAGAAAAGGGACAACGTYCCCCACAAAAACCTCCAACTTCTTCAAGAACAAACATCATCTCTGCAGCTTTAAACTTTAATGCCCAGATTTAAAAAGCTCTGTGGAAAACGTATAAAAGTAGAAAGAATCCGATAATTAATTCTGAAACTGATGAATTCTTCGGAGTCTCTGTTGAATAAAACGCAGAGACATGATGGATGGAGCTGAGAGACGCAGATGAAAGAAATAAATTAGCCTTGGAGAAGAAAAGAATCCATTCATCAGGACGCGCTGCAGAAATAAGGACTTTTTTTCTCTATAAACAGCAAAGATTGTCATCCTGCAGAACAAAAAGCACAAAGATCAGCTGATGAACTGATGTTTTTTCTAAATAAACTGCAGAGCGGATCAGAGCCGCCTGGAGAGGAGCGGCACGATTAAAACGCCACGAGGACAATAATTCAGTGTGTGCTCCTGCTGGCCGACAGACCAGCCTGCTGCGTGTGTGTGTGTGTGTGTGTGTGTGTGTGTGTGTGTGTGTGTGTGTGTGTGTGTGTGTGTGTGTGTGTGAGGATCGATTGACGAGGATCTGCAGCAGAGAGGCGTCTGTGTGT